CTGGTTATAAATCGTTTTTTATGAGCCAGTAATTGCTACATTTTTGAGAAAGGGGACACTGCAGACCAAACCATTTATTTTGTGGCACAAATCGAATTTCGAATTATTTATAAAATTATCTCATTATTCACCTGAAAAATTAACTGTTAACTGTTAATAATTACATTTGCATAATCACCTAATCAAGGTATTTTACATGTGCTCACTAATGCTCACTCTAGTAGCTACTACTTTTGCGTATTATCAATACGAAGATGCTCGAGAAGATTTAGCCGGTGATTGATGAATAAAGTATTACCGTGAAGTCGACAACTTTTGAGTGTAGGACTGGAGAAATGTACCTCTTTATTTGTAGGACAGTGTAACTATTTAATTGTAGTAATATTTACTAAGCTACATTAAAAAAATCAACTGGTTATAAATCATTTTTTATGTAACGTATCTGCTACATGTTTGAGAAGGGAGAGAGCCTAGATCAAACCATTTATTTTGTCGGACAAATGTTGTTTCATATTATTTATGAAACTATCTCAACATTCAGCTACAAAATTAACTGTTATTATTTACATTTGTATGATCACCAAATAGACATGTTTTCCACCTGCGCACTCTGTTAGCTACCTGTTTTTGGAATTTTCGCAACAGAAAATTTGGGCGTCTTATCAAAATGAAGATACTCACGAAGATTTAGCCGGTTATTAATGAAAAAAGTTAAATCGTGAAATCGACAACTTTTGAGTGTAGGACTGAAAATAGCTACCTGTTTATTTGTAGGACAGTGTGACCATTTAATTGTAATATTAACCAACCTACATTGAAAAAATCAACTTGTTATTAATCATTTTTTATGCAACGTAATTGCTACATGTTTGAGGGGGGGACATCGTAGACCAAACCCTTTATTTTGTCGAACAAATGTTGTTTCAAATTATTCATAAAATTATCTCAACATTTAGCTGAAAAACTAACTGTTATTAATTAAATTTTCATAGTCACCAAATCGACATGTTTTACACCTGCGCAGTATGTTAGCTACCTGTTTTCGCAATTTTCGAAGAGAAAAAAGTTGGGCGTCTCGGTGAAATGAAGCTGCATTGAAAAAACTAGCTTGTTATTAATGATTTGGAAAAAAGGTCCTCGGCCCCCGGACTAATCTTTTAAGCCATGCATTTAGAACTTACCTAGGTACGAAAGTTCGAAATTGTTTCTTCGTTCGTGAAGAATGCACTCTGCAGAAAAATGATTTTTTTTACTCGACACAGTCGTCTTTTGAAACATTTTTTCTTCGATATTAGGTAGGCAAAATTATTTAAACTCAATAGCGGGAGTATCGGCAAAGAATGTATCGGTAGTGCATAGTGAAATTTATGCAGAAATGGTGCCACAAGAATATCCTTAGAAGTAATAATTACAGCAAACAGGGTGTCTCAATATACCTAATTGAAATTTTGAGGATCTGGGTAACTTTTTGTATGTGCCGCTTCTACAACATGAGCCATCCAATTTCGCCACTTTCACTTCAGTTTCGGCCAAGTGACGGCATCTTTAGAATCTTGTAACTTATGGTATATTATGGCATTTTTCGTTAGAAAATTAAATTATAAAATGGGTAATGCCATATTTGTTAAGGCTTTGTTAAATAAAATTATGAAAAATTACAAAGTGGAACATTTGATGACTCGTTCCGAAGTTATCACATCAACGCCCGTGGGACACTTTGTATATAAGCTTGGACAAACATTTCTGAAGAATACAATAAAAATAAGGTTGAATTTATGGCATTTGCGAAAAAACTATTTCGTGTAGTTATTTCCTAACATTGTTTCGCTTTTCTGACCTATTAAGAACTGTGAGTTATTGTAGACCTACATTTTTTTGGAGATCGAGGAATATCGAGAAAATTTCTCGATCTCGAAAAATTTCGAAGCGTTTTTTTCGATCTCGCCTCGAAAAAATAATTTCAGAGACGTTAAATCTCGAATGTCGAGAGTCTCGCGAAACCCTAGTTACTCGTAATTTGGTTTCTCAACGTCTGGCAACATAGCACACAAAATATTAACCGATAATTGATTTCTCAGTTACTTGAATTATTGAAGTCGCGCGTAATTCATTTTTTTTGCTAATAAAATGTTTACAAACGTCTAATATGCAGAAATGTTACATGTTTAAGGAGAATCGTTACAGAGTGCCCATTAGGCCGCCAGAATTTACAGGGAAAAATAACGAAAGAACATTTGTGTCTGTTTTGCAAAGATTGAGTCAATTAAGTGAGACGGGAAGTGTAAGTGTGCAAAATATTAATCGCGGACTTGCAAGACAAATGACACCTATCGATGAAGAACAGATTTTAGCGATAGTCGAAGATAGCCCTGGAATAAGTACTTGATCCATTGCCTGACAAGTAAGATATTTCCACGCAACAGTTAATTGTACCCTTCGTGTGTACAGGCATTTTTTCCTGGAGATTTTCAAGGCAGAGTCCATTTTTGTGAATGGTTTCGCCAAAGATATCCGAATTTTGTACAATGTATTAAATCTACTGATAGTGTTGTTTTACAAGAGATGGAATTTCAAATTATCACAACACTCACACATGGGCACAAGAAAATCCACGTAGCATTCAACAAAGCCGATTTCAACAAAGATTCTTTATAAATATTTGGGCAGGAATTCTAATAAAAAAAAAATATTTACACCAATTAAAATCGAATAATAAACCAAAACGAAAATAGGCAAAAAAAGTTATTGACAGATTCTGACTGCTGTCAAAATGTGACGTGTATGAACTTTGTTCAATGTTGCCAAAAGAACCCGATTGGAGTATTTTTTTCCTACTAGAACAAATTACTGGTTTTGACAATTCTGAAATTTTTTAAAATTTTTGAACTCAGAATTAACATACAAGTTGAAACTGTCAAATGACATAAGTACCATAAAATATTGAAAACTGAAAAATATGAGTGCTGCCGTTCGGCAGGGTTTTGACATTTCTCGATTTACCTTGGTCGACTCCGTAGAAATCGATATCTCGTTCATCAAATCTATCATAGTTACTCTACTTTTATATATTAGATTCCAATATCTGACAGCTGACACCGCCTCCACCTCTGTCATATATGCAAGTTTGTGTGTGGTTTTGACGTGTTGGAACAGACGCATAATCACATGTTAAAATATTTGTACTCAAACCTGATACACGATACACGCTGTATACCTAGGTAGAGAAATTGGTTATTATATACCGAGCGGAAGGTATAACGACTTTACCGAGGAATAACCAGATTTTTTTTAAAAAATGATTTGTCATCGTTGAAGTTATTTTTTCCTGAATGGCTTCTCGCCCTCTATCAACAGCTTATAGTAATTTCCTATATGCATACAAAATATTTTTTATTTATTTTTTTCAATTGACGGGTTGAAATTGGAATTGAGCCACTAGAAACCTGGTACGTCATGACGTCATTTTCATTATCGACCTAGGTTTCTTTCATTATTCGCCTAGGAAGAGAAATCTATTTTTTTCCTAGAAAACTAGATTGAATAATAGTATTTTTCTATGACCATTAAAAAATAAACAACTTTGGTCATATTTTACCTTTGCCGAAAACGTCACTTTCGTCACTAGTGATAGAATATTCCATAACGTTAACTTTCGTCACTAAGTAGTGATAAAAGTAAATATTTACAATTTTACATATTATGTTTAATACAATCTTTCAAATCCTATTATAATTTAATTCTATAAAGGACAATGAAAAGACAGTTCATCACAAAATTATGTGAATTTTGCTTTATATTATGTAATAAAAGCAAAATATATCTATTTATAAAATTATTGCAAAAACGAGAACTATTGATAGATGGCGCCTTGATCCATTCAGGTTTTCAAGCGCTATCTATCTAACCAAGTAGCAACCCTTGTGAAAAAAACATCAGTTTAACAGCAAACACAAAACATGGCATAGAAAAAGTATAGTGTTTTACTCGTCGAAAATCATTTTTTGCAACTTGAAAACGCATTACCAACCGGCTTCGCCTCGTTTGGTAAACTGTATTCAATGCTGTTTTCGTCACTCGTTAATCGTTAAACAATATACTATTCTCAGGTTAGTAGTAAAAATTGGGTTGTTGGTATGTATGGGGTAATTTGTTCGTTTTACACTTTTTGTTCAATATCATTGCATAAATAAATACGGATAATCAACTTGATGTGTCTATTCTTTTACGCGAGTATCCATATGCCGAGCCATGTATTCTTCGTAAATTAGTGGCAGCTTTTCATTTTTCCGAAAATGGATTAAAAAGCTGTGATTGGAAGCGAAGTTGTAATCCCTCGAAGATAAAATATATATGCAATTCGGCGCTATCCTGGTCCAAGACCATAATTGATTACTGACAAATTTTGATGAATATTTCACTCATGTATAAATTTTCCCATAAGAGAAGTGTCAAATCAAAAAATTACAGCGAGTATAGAAAATCGATAACATCAAAACGATAATACCACTTCGTCAGGGCAACCTGTTTGAGTTTGACAATATATCAAAAATTATTTAATAAAAATACATTATTTGATTTTGTCGGTAAAGTTATGTTTTTGAATTCGTGAAATATTCCTCTGAATACCACTCGTGGCATTACCAGTATTACCTCCGACAATAAAGTTCAATTTATAGACCCCTTGAAGATTAAAAATATTATACAACTATAGAAAAAGGAAAAACAGCCAACGGAAATAATCAATAGGTACAATATAGTTATTTATTTGCTTAATTTTACTTGGAATGCCCTGATTCATGCCACTTATTGAAAAAGACCTTGTTGAAAAAAAAAGAATGCAGGTGACTTACTTTTAACACATATAGGTACATAATAGTTCGACCATTTCATTGCATAATGTGTATATGTATTTATGTATTATAACACAGCGAAAGTAGACTTTAAATTCTAAACTCAGGCTCTCAAAACACCGATTATTTTGCTACAAGTTCTGGTACGGTTCGGAACTAAGTATTTAAGTAAAAGTGGTGCACTTGTGCCGATTTTATAATGTATTCCGTTGGAAGTATTGTGGGCCTGATGATTTTAGCTGCAGCTGCGGCCCTAACGATAGTGAGTACAAAAATGATTGGTCAAAATAATTACATTTTGAATCAGCTTTTAAGAATATCCCAATAAACATAGGTTTGGCTTAGCACTGCCGAAATTCTAAAAAAAAAAATGCTAGAAGGCTTATAGGATAAATTGTCTAAATTGTGGTATTGTTTCCAAATTTGTTATGTATTATACATTTTTTAATACTAAGTAAAGTATTTTTATTCTGACTTAAAACACTGCATTATGCGAGGATATTTCAACATCACGTCGCTCTCTTCTAATAATTGCATATAGAAAATCTATAGTAAGTTTACTTCCTGGAAATGATGATGTAGATAAACCTAATTAGACCTCGTGATTTCTATAACCAGTATCATCCCAATTTATTCATTATTTGCTGCTTTATTCCACGTATTATTTAGTTGTGTTGTCTGATATTCATTATCACCATTTAAAGAAATAAAAATTATGTGACGCCCATGTCCTTTATTTGTTTGATGTATGCCGAATGCCGACTAAGATGTTTTTTAGTATTTCAAGTCGGATTAAAAATACTATACTAGTTATCCCAAAGTAAAAATGCTGAAATTCGAGGACAGAATTTTTTTTTCGAGTTTTTTTTCTTACATTGATTCAAATATTTGGTAGTGGCTCAAATATTTTTTTTATGAATTTAGATGTTCAACAAAATCTAATAATACATAATATCTAATTTTGAATAATTCTTGTCAGGGAAAGTTACCTGTTTTATACCATTGCAATTCGTTAATTGCTAATTTTTGTTCCCTAACCCTTAAAATAGGGATGTTAAATAAATTCAAATCTTTATGAATCAGGAATCAAGGACCAAAATTACGAGGTAAGGGAATTGGGTAATGCAGCATTATTTCTTTATGGCAATAAAAATGTTTAGCTACGTATTTTCTCATGTCGCATAATAATGTAGGTACTAAACTATAGTACAAACCAAATAAGGACCACTTTAACCTTTGCTTTTATTAAATTTTGAGTAACCCTGGTAAAGTTTTTATTTCTATTTACAATATAAATATTTTGTGCACACTTCATTTGCTTACCTATATCGTAAATGGAAATAGACACTTCACCAGGGTCATTCAAAATTAAAAAAAAAAAACAAAGGTGTTTGAAAAGTGGTCCTTATTTCGTTTTGACTAGTTTATCTGTTACATATTAACAAATTTATTGACTAAGAAAAGAGCGACGCACCCAATATTTTATTTAGGTTAATGTCTTAAAAGAAATTAACTGGTTTTTTTGATGTGTAATAATTATTATTTGCACATGTCGAGCTGTTATATTTTAAAAATCCACTCTTGCAGAACGATATTTTTTAATTCTTGTAAATTGTTTTATAATTCATATACCTCGAAGGGATTTTGATTTTTCAATGCTTTCAATAAGATAAAGTAGTTTCGTGAAATGTCAGACCAATTATCTTTTCATTTGCTGCCAGGTAGCGAAATACATTTCCGACTTCTGGTCTAATTATTTTATTCAAGATGTAAGTATAGAGAAGTATTAAATTGTATTTATTTCAATGTGTCCACGAATTTCCAAAAAAGCAGCAGATGTGTTTTATTATCAAGCAAGGGCATTTTATAGGCTTCAATGACTCGTGCATTTGGAAGGTGCAACTGCGAATCACTGGCAACACTTTTCGGACGGTTTCTCGCGGTTTCACTTTCTTCGAGATTTTGACAAGCTGTCACTTCAACGGGGGTGACAGCAGATATTTCAAACTTGTTTGTTTTGATTCCCCTTCCCATTTAAGATTCTCTAGGGGGTGGATCTGGAGGCTAGAGGGTTGACACGGGGATATACAGGGTGTATATTTTAAGTAATACCACTATTGCTATATCCGAAACGGTAAGATCTACAAGGTCAGTTAAATTAGAAAAAAGTTGCCTTTTTTAATGCTTATTCAAGACTTGTTTACAGTATTGCCAAATTCGCTTTAGTTTAGGAAATACAGGGTGATTTCTGAAAAACGCCGAAAAATATTTATTGAATTATTTCGAAAACTATTGATTTTCGAGATACAATTTAAATTTGAAAGTTTTATAATTTTTTTCGCTCTACAATATGGCATCTTCAAATTTCAAATCCGACGTTTCGTGATCGAGCTACCATCATCAACTTCATTTTTTTGAATACGGACCTGGATTTTTTATTTTATTTTTAGAAAGCGCCCTTTATTCCCTTTTTAACGATATACTTCTTAGGTATGATTGGCCGACGTTTCTGCTCTAAAAAGTGATCATCAGTGATTTTTACCAAAATTTTATCTTAATTCGGCTCCAGAATTCGTTATTTGTAACAAAGACGGTCTAAAAAGTACTTTTTTTCCTTTATTATTTAGGACAAAATTAACAAAATAATTTGTATGAACACTCAAAATTATCTAATTATGAATAATAATTAAAATAATTACTTAGAAACTAGTAATTTTAATTGTAATTTCACAAATTCAGGTTGGCAATGGCAACACTGATATGGAATATAAATAATAAATAAATTATGTCAAAGAAGGTCAAAAAACAAAAAAATTAAATTGACAACTGCACAACTTGTCAAAGCATTTCTTTATTAATTGGTCATTTTATGATAATTGTTAATAAAGAAGAGTACAGAAATTTTCATTATGGAGTTTACGAATGACGAAAAAGTTGATATGTTCGTGGTTTATATTAGAAGTATGCATAACCTGAACGTTGCCCTAGAGTCGTACGAGAATTTATATCCAGAAAGAAGGATGCCCAACCGAAGATATTTTGGGGTATTGGAAAAGAACCTGAGAGAATTTGGGTCCTTTAATAAGCCTAGAAATCGTGCAGCTACTGTCACTTTACCTGGCAACGAAGCCGAAATGAACGTCCTAGGTAAACTAATCGCCTATTTATTGGCGAGTGAATTTCTAAATTACCATTTTGTTTTCAGCATATGTCAATTACAAAAATGTAAATAATGAAGAAGTTTCATTACGAGAAATTGAAAAAGAGACAAATGTAGACAAAATGTCAGCTAGGAAAATTTTGCGCCGCAATAAGTTTAGGTAAAGACTCTAGTGGCAGGAAATGGAAAGACGAAGTTTAGTGCGCATGCCAAATGTTGTGCTACACACCTTATTACTTCGATTTCTACGATTGCTATGGCATGGTGGCCCAGTTGAAGTACGCTTCCCGGGTTCTATTCTCGTTGAAGGGAATTCAGTTTTTTTTAAGGATTATTACCAGGAAAAGTTAATTTTGGTTAGTTTCGGTTCCGTCAATTAGCTCCTTTTCGTTTAAAATATCAACATAAAGTCTGTTTTTTTTTTTAAAGATTATTCCCCAAGTCAAAAATTTAGTAACTATGTTGGCAACAAGCCTTTTCTACATAAAAATTTGAAAACATTGACAATTTTACATTGTATTGCCAAACATAATGTCATTTTGACTTTTATCTTTAAAAAAAACCGACTTTAAAGACTAGCAATCATTACGATACATTTGGCATGCGCACTAAAATCCCAGCTCTCCATACTTCCTTCCGCTAGACTCTTGTAATTTTAGGCCATATCGCTGTCGTAAAACGCACCATTTAAGAGAAACTGATTTCCGAAAACGACGTATTTTTTGCCATTGGTTACTACGGCAAAATAGGCAAGATCCTGACATCTGCAAAAAAATTTATGGAGCGATGAGAGCCGATTCACCAACAATGGTTGGTTTCATCGAAATATTCACTACAAGTGGACCCAAGAAAATACACATTATCACAGAGAAACAGCATTTCAGGAACGTTTTGGTGTTAATGTATGGATAGGAATTTTAGCTTCTAAAGTCGTGGGACCTTTTTTTTTTAATGAAAATTTAACAGCTGTCAGCTATCTGAGATTTATGCGAAGAAACCTGCAAGAAATGCTTGATGAGCTACCATTAAATGACCTGCGTAGATTTGAGTACTACCAACACGATGGCGCCCCGGCACATCGTGCACGACGTTGTGTTCGTTTCCTCAATAGATTTAAAGGCAACAACTGGATAGGAAACAATGGTCCCATAAAATGGCCTCCTAGGTCCCCAGACCTTACTCCAATTGATTTTTCCATATGGGGTCTTGTCAAAGATTACGTATTCAGAAAAACAGCAGAGACAATCGAAGAATTGAAAGAGAGAATAAGGGCTGCATGTGCTAAAATAAATGAAAGAATATTAAATAATATTCAAAAAAAAATTGTAAGGAATTGCAGATTATGCTTAAGGAATAATGGACGTCAATTTGAGTATTTACAATAATAATTAGTTTCTAACTAATTATTTTTTTTAATCATTGTTCATAATTAAATAATTTTAAGTTGTTAGAGAAATTATTTTTTGTACCACCTTGCGTAAAGTACTCACTTTACGCACTATGCAAAATACGTAAAATTTCACTTCACGCACTAGTGCGTAAAGTAATTCACTTTACACACTAATGTCACACTTTCAATTTTTTTTCTGGCAAATTACTTCACGCACTACTGCGTAAAGTGAAAACACTTTTCGCACTAGTGCGTGAAGTATTTGTCTGAATTTATTTTTTTTACACATATTTTATTGGCAGTAGAAATTTTTTTTAATGCAATATGTGTGTGAAGTGAACCTTTTTTCACTCATGTGATTGCACAAAATTCACATTCGTGAGAAAAGGTTCACTTCATACACTTGTTCCCTGAATAGCTATTGTTAATTTTGAAAAAAAGTACTTGTTAGACTGTCTTTGTTAAAACACAACTAACGAATTCCAGGGCCGAATTAAGGTAAAATTTTGGTAAAAATCACTGATGATCACTTTTTAGAGCAGAAACGTCGGCCAATCATACTTAAGAGTTATATCATTTGAAAGGGAATAAAAGGCGCTTTCTAAAAATGACATAAAAAATCCAGGGCCGTATTTAAAAAAATGAAGTTGATGATGGTAGCTCGATCACGAAACGTCGGATTAAATATTTGAAGATGCCATGTTGTAGAGTGAAAAAACTTATAAAACTTTCAAATTTAAATTGTGTCTCGAAAATCAATAGTTTTCGAAATAATTGATGAAATATTTTTCGGCGTTTTTTAGAAATCACCCTGTATTTCATAAACTATAGGGAATTTGGCAATACTGTAAACGAGTCTTGAATGGGCATCAAAAAAGGCAACTTTTTTCTAATTTAACCGACCTTGTAGCTCTTACCGTTTCCAATATAGCAATAGTGGTATCACTTAAAATATACACCCTGTATACTCTACGTTTTGCAGATTTCCAAGTATTAATTGCACATGATTATGATGTCCTATAGAGTTCATGACCCGTAAATTGATTTAAAAAAATGCGGGTAATGGGGTTTGGATCTAAATTTGACGAAAACATTACTAGCCTACGTACTTACGAGGAAAACAACTATAGGAGGAAAACAACGAAACCTGAAATTGAATAACGGATAAAAATCAAAACAATGCACAAGTGAGTAGGTATAAATATTTGGGAATAAAAAGCTGGCATAAAAGAACCCTAGACGAAGCAGTAGCTAATTAACGAAATAAGTACCTACAACAACGGAAGGTATTATGGATTACTGTGAGACAAAAATATCAATAAAACGAACAAAAAACTGGAATATAGAACACTATCGTCGTCAATAGAGCTAAAAGACTGAACTGCAAAAATGCTGGAAACAGCTGGACTGAACTTTTGGAGGCGAGGCAGGCAGGCAGGTCAAAAATCCATAGGATTACAAACCAGAGAATTAGAGAAATTAAGCAACGTCTTGCCCAGATGTAAAATCAGTTATCAGTAGCCACAATTTGACGCCTGTTTCTGAAGAAACTACTTCCCAATGTTTGTTTCCTCGTACTAAAGCAATCTTCTTGCAGGAAACAGGTAACTTCAACGCACATGCTGGCTTCCGCACATAATTCATATAATGCGTCTAACTGTACGTTTACAATAATTATGTAATAATATCACTAATAATAATTCTCTTATTCCAATTTATTTAAATATGTTGACTCTTGTTACCTTTCTTTTATTGCCGTTGGTAATTATACGAACAAGAACATTGAACTTTCGATTTATTTTCGGGAAAGTGGTTAAAAAGGCCTGTTGAGAAAATTTGGTTCCTAACTCATGCGGAAAGTGTCTTTCCCGCACTTGTTAGGAAAATAACTATTCACAACCTGTAAAGAATTGAAGATAACTTTACTAGGAATTACTTTCATATGAATTTTTTTCCGTAAACCCTATACCTCTACAATGAGGTACCTACATATTTAACGAACACCCTGAACGTACACGAATCTGAAATAGGTTTTTTTCCAATCAAATTTGTAACTGTGTTATTACAGTATTTGCTCTGAAATTTTCTATTATTTTTCTAGATTTTTTTATTTCAATTCTTTTTTAGAATGCTGGTTATGAAGATATTGGCTTTGCTCCAGAATACAATCAGTACCAAGTTCAAACAAATCTGGAACAGCGAAAAGAAGAAAAACGAAATAAGCAAGATTTTTCCAAAATACCTGGGATTCCCGGACATGACTACCCTCTTTACCACGCGGTTCCCGACACTAGTTTTTCTTGCCACAACGTTCCTGCTTTGCCTGGAATGTATGCAAATGTTGAAACTGGCTGCCAAGTAAGAATTTTATTATTTGGATTGTGTTTATAGCGAAATAAGCCAAGAGCAAGAGCGATCGTTAAATTGGATTTTAGAATGTTGAAATTCCTTTTAAATTAAGGACAAGAATTAGATTGTCGACTCACGCTTGAAACGCTTACAAATTTATAATTATTGTAGTATAGGCTACTATTATATTTGAACAATTCTTTTTTAGGCTTATCATATATGTCATGATGGTAGGGAAGGAGAACAAGGATCAAAATTTTTATGTAGCAACGGCACTTTATTTAATCAAAAAGAGTTTACTTGTGATTGGTGGTACAACGTAGACTGTCATAATGCTCCAAGTTTTTATAGTTTGAATTTGGATCCTAAAAAGAATCCTTATTTCCAAAAACCTAGCGAGGAATCGAAAATACCGGCACATAAGGAAGAAGAAGTGGAACAATATATTAAAATTCTTGTTTAAATAAAATATTGTATATTATATTAATTGTTTTACCAATGTCATTAAACTAGAGAAGTACTTACAGTGCATTTTCAGTAGGTTAATCAGTTAAGTTGATAGATAATGTTGAACTAAAAGCTTGTTACCGTTTATTGGATTCATTTTTGACACATCGCAGTACATTCAATATAGATAATAATCTTTAATATTGTTTTACAACTCTCAACTATCTCTAAAATCTAAAACCTTCACAGATATTTGAGACGTATTTAGTGTAGGCAGTTTTATGAAAAAAAAAATCAAAATTAAAAACTACAAAAACCCATTTTTTTTAAACTTTTATTTTTTGAAGTACTGATGCACAGCAAACTATTTTTACAATTTTTATAAGTTTTCTTCGTCTATTATATAATTTAAGTATGTTCGATTTTCTTGGCATGCATACGTTTCAATTAAAATTGATGAAAAATGTTCTTGCCTCGACTAGGATTTGAACCCAGGACCCTCGCATTTCCACTGCAACGCTCTACCAACTGAGCTACCAAGACCTGCTTCATTTCTACCTTGTCGGTCAAGTCTTTCATCAATTTTAAGTTGTTAGTTGTGAAGACCAACGGCAACCTCTGGCGGTTATTGTTGGTATGGGACTGAGTTAAAAGTTATAGGGGAACACGTTCGCAATTAATGGCTGTTTTGCAATCCTTTATCCCTTCAACCACGGGTGCGTCGTCGACATATAGCGACTTCAGCAGGTATCGGGATGGGACGCCCAACCATCAATATCAAACCAAATCATTTTTACAATTTTTACAACTTTTCTTCGTCTGTTATATAATTTAAGTGTGTTTGATTTTCTTGACATGCAGACGTTTCAATTAAAATTGATGAAAAATAATCTTGCCTCGACTAGGATTTGAACCCAGGACTCTCGCATTTCCAGTGCAACGCTCTACCAACTGAGCCTCCAAGACCTGTTTCATTTCTACCTTGTCGGTCAAGTCTTTCATCAATTTTAAGTTGTTAGTTGTGAAGACCAACGGCAACCTTCGGCGGTTATCGTTGGTATGGGACTAAGTTAGAAGGTAGGTATAGGAGAACACATGCGCAATTAATGACTGCTTTGGAATCCATTATCCCTTCAACCATGGATGCGTCGTCGACATATATCGATTTCAGCAGATATCCGGATGGGACGCCCAACCATCAATATTAAGCCAATATATAATTTAAAGTTTTTCTAGTTTTATCGTCTGTCATATAATTTACAGTGTGTTAGAATTTAGTGACTGCTGATGTCGTTATATGTGAGTGACTTTATGCAAAAGAGGCTGAAGAACCACAGGTATCGTTGTATACAGGGTGGCCCATTGAAAACATTCCAGCAAGCTTTAGGGCTTTGTAGGTAGAAATTAAAAAAAAACCCTCTGACCTGTAAATTTTTGTTTTCAGGCGGACACGTTCCACTACCAATTTCATTCCTGTAACCTCAACCAACTGCCCTTATTTTTTCAAATGGAAAGGGGTATGTTGTCATACATCTTTTTAAAGGGCATTAAATTTTTCTTAAAATGAAGCTCCGTTTTTTAAATTTGAGCTACGGGCCGTCGAGAAACTGCATTTTAAAAAATTGAATTTTATTGAGTAGAACTTTACATGTCATCTTATTGAATATTGAAAATGCCCGCCATTCACCTCCATACAATAGTACAACCTTTCAAAGTGTTCTCGGACATGGTGAAGACGATCGGGTGTAATTTGCTGGCATTCATTCGTAATGTGGTTCCGTAAATATTCCAAAATCTTCCAATTTTCTATTTTTTTTTTAAACGCAATTTCTCGACGGCGCGTAGCTCAAATTTTAAAAAACGAAAAGGCATTTTAAAGAGAATTCAATGTCCTTGAAAAAGATGTATTGCAACATACCTTGAAAAAATAAGGACAGTAGCCAACTCTGTTAGGGGGTTGAGGTTACAGAGATGAAATTAATAGTGAAACGTGTCCCCCTAAAAACAAATGCTTGGATTCATTTCCGCAGTTGCCAATTTTGTATTACGAGTCTCTCTATTTAAGACCCCTGGCTATGATTTAAGTTTTTGTTGCTCTGCCTTCGTGTATGATTGTCGATAGCTCTTCAAGAGAAATGGCGGGCTGGTCGGAACCCTCGTTCTTATTGATCGATGACGAATAATTTGTCGGCTACCTTTTCAAACACTAGTGCACAAAGTTGTCCGGCAATTCTATTGTTGCTCCACTCACTCGATTTTGACATTTCTTCCACCTTTCGTGGCGAATGACTTAGTGAGACAAACATCTCGTGGTGTAACACTCAGCGTTGTTTTGGTTTGCTTCACTGGTATGCAGATTCCTACAAAAATTTTGACCAAACACCCATTTAAAAAAAAAGCTTTAATAAGAATCATGCACTACTTTAATTTGTATGGAAAATTAGGTTCAAGTGTTTCTGTGAACTATTCCAATAACGTCACCTACAGGCAAATAACATAAATATTCAAATCGCTAATTCGGAAACTTTGTTCCACCTAGGCCTTAGTTGACACTCTATAAAACTTTTCAACATGAATAAATGGCCGCTGCTTTAGTGATTCATGGTGGAGGAAATTTACCTTTGGGCCTTGATATAGTGCATTGTTTCACAAACGATACAAATTCTGCCATTTGGGCTTTACCCACTGAGAACTATAAACCACAACACAAACTCTATTTTCGGCCGGCAAGCCCAATGTTGTCTTTTGTAGGACATAGTCGATGTAGTTCTTAGATTATATATTTTTTCTTGTCAATATCACCGTCTATTATTTGTCTGTGATATAATTTACAGTGTGTTGGATTCAAGAAGCATGCAGACGTTTTAATTAAAATTAATGGAAAATTTTCTTGCCTCGACTATTGATTGCAGTGCTCTACCAACTGAGCTACCGAGACCTTTCTCATTCCTACCTTGTCGGCCTTGTTGGTCTTCACAACTAACAACTTAAAATTGATGAAAGACTTGACCGACAAGGTAGAAATGAGACAGGTCTTGGTAGCTCAGTTGGTAGAGCGTTGTCCTGGAAATGCGAGGGTCCTGTGTTCAAATTCTAGTCGAGGCAAGAAAATTTTTCATCTATTATAATTGAAACATCTGCATGCCAAGAAAAACCAACACACTTAAATTATATAACAGACGAAGAAAACTTGTGAAAATTGTAAAAATTGTTTGGCTTGATATTGATGGTTGGGCGTCCTATCCCGATACCTGCTGAAGTCGCTATATGTCGACGACGCATCCGTGGTTGAAGAGATAATGGATTCCAAAACATTCATCAATTGCGAATGTGTTCCCCTATAGCTTCTAACTCACTCGCATACCAACGATAACCACCGAAGGTTGCCGTTGGTCTTCACAACTAACAGCTTAAAATTAATGAAAGACTTGACCCACAAGGTACAAATGAAACAGGTCTTGGTAGCTCAGTTGGTAGAGCGTTGCACTGGAAATGCGAGGGACCTGGGTTCAAATCCTAGTCGAGGCAAAGAAATTTTCCATCAATTTTAATTGAAACGTCTGCATGCTAAGAAAATCCAACACACTTAAATTATATAACAGACGAAGAAAACTTGTAAAAATTGTAAAAATTATTTGGTTTGATATTGGTGGTTGGGCGTCCCATCCCGATACCTGCTGAAGTCGCTATATGTCGACGACGCATCCGTGGTTGAAGGGATAATGGATTCCAAAACAGCCAATAATTGCGAATGTGTTCCCCTATACCTTCTAACTCACTCCCATACCAACGATAACCGCCGAAGGTTGCCGTTGGTCTTCACAACTAACAACTAAAAATTGATGAAAGACTTGACGGACAAAGTATAAATGAAACAGTTCTTGGTAGCTCAGTTGGTAGAAATATAAATAAACACAGTGGCGTAAATTTTTTCTTTGAAAAATGTCGGTAAGGTTGTCTTCCGGGACGCCACGGGATTTAATAATTTTAATCCAATCAGGTATAAATTAGGCTCTTGCTACTACAAACAAATCTGCCAAGTCACATCAAGATTGGCGGAAGAGTTTTTATTTATGTTATGGATAAAAAACTGTTTTTTTTTTTTAACTTTAAGTCTTAAATCTTTAAAATAAAGAAATCCAAAGCTTTTAGTCATAAAATAATCCAAGCAATTAACTCCCTGATGAGTAAGTTTTTTTTGGTATACTTAAGGTCTGTTCTCACAGAAATCTCATCAGAAAACTGGTTGATGGCGATTTGCACCAATGGAAAACGCTCCGATTGGTTTGTTATTTCTGTGAGAACAGACCTTTAAACGCACATTTCTGTTGCTAAATAAAGAGGAAGTCGAAGCATTCGGACCACCACGCTACTTCTTACTCCTTCAATAATATAAAAATTTTGGAAGTCATACTATAGAATTTCATTCAAATTATTGGTTCGATTTCACTTGATTTCTTTGTCTTGTAGGTACAATCGAAGCCCAACATTACCTCGATTCAAACCCGACTAGTATATTTTTTTTAAAAGGTTGTACCCGAGTCAAGATAGTTCAAATCTTGGGTAAAGCTAGACAAAAATAATATAAAGCTAATTTTTGGTATATATCACAATTTAGGGCTAAATAATAATATACTAGAAGTCCTGGAGAATCCTCCTTCCGTAACCCCCTTTTTCCGCCCTTCAAACCCCTCCACCCCTTTTTAATATTTTGGTGATTTTCTCGAAAACCATCCACTATAAGGAAAAATGTCTAGAGACCATTTTTGAATCTGACAAAATTTCCCTTGCAACGATGTACTGCGAGCCCATATATTATCACGTGGTACGCACCAGTGGCGTATCAAAAGAACGTTTGCCGCGAGATTAATTGAAAGTTCTTGAATGGCACGAATTTACTGATTTTAACCAAAAACTATAAGCTTGGCGAAAAATGTCGTTACCAATTTTTTTGTAGGTGATAAAATTGCAAATCTATTGATGTGTAGAACGACCCCCTTGTACCAAATATATTGAAACTGCTGTTTAATTAATTTTTAATTTAGTTTCAAAACAACATTTTAAACATCTTTCTCAAGAGTAGAATCCTCTGTAACGGTTTCCTCGATATTATTGCATGTTTCGCCATTGCAAGGGGAACAAAATGTGCTACACTTTTGGCCTGAGTGTCTGCATGAGCATCTACCAGCACAATAATATTGGTTTTGCAATGGCAGTTAACCAGACAGAGAAGTGATTCGGGTGCGGGAGGGCCCCATTCAGAAGGCGGTAACCGGTTTCCCAGCCACTCTTGTACCTCAAAAAACCAATAGAAATACATATAAAAACACAAGTTAGTTTCCGTGTATCCGTTGCTCACCTGAAGGTATACTCTCAGTGATAAAGTAATGTATTAGTTCGCTTTTTGTTGAATTACACGTTACAAAGAAAGAAGCAACGATTACTTCCGAACTCGCCGCTGGACTCGAACTCCGTATCGGATAGAGATCATTATCTCTATCGCTATGGTACTTCCTGTTCTCTTTTCGAAATCAATATATAGAGAGGGGACGTCAATAGAAATAGAGAAAACTTCTCTATTCGTTACAGAATCCCAACTCTGAATGTAAATATGACGCAAACACGTGACAAACTCGCTTCCCATTGGACTCTGTTGTACAAGCGCAATCAAGATAAAAAAAGATACCTACCTCAACATCGCGTAGGACGCTAGGCTAACCTGTTATTGGCAAATTGATAGCTGAGAAGTCTCGGATAAACTTAAAAATTTTTTTTGGTGAAGCAATTGCGATAAACTTCTTAGAGATTCGCAAGTAGTGGTCGTTTTAGAGAAAAATATGTTTCTCCTAAAAAAATTATGCTTAGATCAAAAAAACTAAGAATAAATAGCAAAAACTATATTTTTAAAAGTAATCCTTCATTTGATACGCCGCTGGTGCGTATTGCGTGTCACTATATGAGCTCGCAATATATCATTGCAAGGGAAATTTTATCAGCTTCAAAAATCCTCTCTTGACTTTTTTCCTTAAAGTGGATAGTTTTAGTGAAAATCGCCATAGTATTAAAAAGGTGGGGTTTAGGAGGCGAAAAAAGGGGGTTACGGAGAGTGGATTGGCCAGGACTTTTGGTATGTTTAGCCCTCAGGCATGATCTCTACCAAAAATCAGCTTTATATTATTTCTGTTGAGGTCAAATGCTATCTTGACTCGGGTATTGACTGCCGACCACATTTTTGAGTTATTCTCGGACGCCGTTAAGTTTTACTCGTTTTGTTTCGTATCCATGTTTAGCGATACAAAAAAAAAAACGCGTTTTTAACTAAAATACGTGCTGGACAAATATATTTGGAAGGACGCCGGAGCGGCTGGCGACATTCTCTTGCCAACACCTACTGAATATTATGCCGGTTTTCCACTAAACGAACTGTTGAGTTTGTGTTTTGTCTATGTATTAAAACAAAAACAAACCTGAAATAAACACAAAACTCTTGTTTCCATCAAGCGGACTACGTTTTGTTTTCTCGGGGAAACAAAACTTCAACTGCCTCAAAACACGCTAGTCTTGAAAATGTTTGGGAAAAGTTTGAGTTTGTATTTTGTTTTTGTTTTGTCTGTTTGGTGGAAAACCGGCATTATGCCGGTTTTCCACTAAACGGACTGTTGAGTTTGTGTTTTGTTTTTGTTTTAAAACAAAAACAAAACTGAAATAAACACAAAACTCTTGTTTCCATCAAGCGGACTATTTACGTTTTGTTTTCTCGGGGAAACAAAACTCCCAACTGTCTCAAAACACGCTAGTCTTGAAAATGTTTGGGTAAAGTTTAAGTTTGGGTTTTGTTCTTGTTTTGTCTGTTTGGTGGAAAACCGGCATTAGACTTACAAATTAGGCATACATAACACTCCGATCGGAGTAGTTGGCGTCGCCGATTGATGCCAGTACACTCCGATCGGAGTGGTCGGCAGTCAACCTGTTAATGCTATAAGCCACCTAGTTGAAATGTATTGCCATATATGAGGCCCTTTGACATCCAATGCATTTTGAACGGGAGGTTCAAGTATCAGTTGAGCTTAACTTAAGGAATTGTATAAGCTGTGATTGTTACAATTTTCTTGGAAAAAAAAAAACACACACACAAAGAATACTTTTAAACATGTTTACTACACTTAAATGAGCGTTTAATTATTAAGTCATGGAGTATTAAAAATAAATACAGTTTATTATTTTTTAAAGTAAATATTGACATACGCTTATGTTTTGTTCCCTCACGAAATTACTCACAGTATACAAAAAACAACAATGATAATATATTGTGCAACAAGTTATGAATACACTTTTTGCAGGATTAAGAAGTTTAGTACCTATAGTAGTCGCCTCCACAGATATTCGAGATTCCTACAAAAAAAAAATTCTTTGTCGGCGATGCCCGGATAAACAAAAACCGCAGCAAAAACTCAACAGATCAGGGTTGAGAATAAATTTAGTCCAAGAGCATCAATTAAATTCATTTTGCGTATAGTATTATTGTATTGTTCCGGATTCGATTAAGTACTTACTTCATTTCTTGCACTAAATATTTAAAAGATCTTTGTAAAATTGAAAAATAATTTTTAACAATATTTACAACAATTCAAACCGAATAATTTCAAACCAATATAATCTTGTACCTACTCAAGCGGTTTTCTGACACGTGCTCCCTGACTAAATGCAAGCCGGCTGATAATAGGTCTGCTTTTGCAGAAATCACAAACCAGTCAGAATGAATTTCATTGGTTGAAACTAGTTTTCTGACTGTTTTTAACCAATGAAATTCGCTCTGACTAATTTGTGATTTCTGCAGAAACAGACCTAATATAAACATAGTTTTTTGTACGAATCGCGAATATCTTTGGCGGATACTATACCTATTCTATTGCAATCGTAGATGAGACAAAAAAAACCCAAAGACAAATTATTTTTGACTGACTTGAAATTAAATTTCCATCTTGAAAAATATAATAACCTAACCTTAATCGACTAATCTTATCAGTCTGTCATACTCAAGAGCATGCTATTTGGAACAATAGTTCTGCGCAGCCAAGACGGGCAAAAGAAAATAAATAATGCACATAGCTGCCATTCACGAAAAATAGCCCATTTGAAAATTTGTCATTGAAGATGATTTCTTGTTCTATGATTAGAAGCCGATTTTGCTCAAAAATCAATATACTTATGCTCGTACTTTTCCAATATACTCATTAAAATAGAGGTTGATTACCAAAAATATATATTTTTTTATCAAAAGTATCCTATAGGCGCACCAGTATATAGAGCAATTTTATTGCTTCCGCAAGTAGTCGTGGATTTTCTAAAACTATACCTACCTACAGTGTGACAACAGGAAGTGGGCACAAGCTGTACCTTTTCTCTAACTTCAGGTGAATTTTTGATATTTGGGGGATTTCCACCAGATAATATAAAAAATTTGCTGTGATAATTTCATTTTTAAAGGTCCTGATTTGACCGAGAGTAACTCAAACTTTCTTTTTTTCAATGGTACATCCGGTATATTTTTACTTATTTCGATATAAAATGCCATTTTGAATGCTATTTGAAAAAATGGATTAAGGAAAAAAAATATGATTTCGGAAATTTCAATTAAGCCTGTAGAGCATTTTAAAAACATAGGATGATTTGAAATATTTTTCCTTGGCTGCTTGATCCAAAATTACCCGTTTTAACTTATTCCTGGCATTTGGGATTGTCCCTTTCCGTTGCCACCCTATAGGTAATAACTTACACAATAATGCACATTCATGTTTGGTTCATAACTAAATAACTAAACTAAAAATATTCAACAGACTAAAATTAGGTACCTACCTACCTACATACTAAACATTAAATATACACACAATAATCTCATTTGTAACTTATTGACCAGTAAAAAAATACTATCTCCATTCAATCTACTCAATATTTCTCAGATGTCGCTCAACTTTCAACTTTTCTAGGTAAGTATCGCCAACGCAGCTATATTCTACCCCAAAAACTGATATCTGATATCTATATAAGCTGGATTTCAAGAAAAAGTTTATAGTCCAAGCGACAACTATTAAATACCTACCAAACCAAATGTTGACATTTTTTATATTTGTCAATGTGCCTACCTATTGGGAATTCAAATTATACCTATATACAAATAATCGTGAAAACATGATTAAAAAACGTCCTATTACACACATTTTTTAAGTTCAGATTTTCCATAAATAAGCTCAAAAATCACAAAAGCTACCAAAAAAGAGACGGGCATTTACTTTTTTAAAATAATGTTTCACACTTTCAGAGTGTTTCACACAACGTTTTACATTACTCGACATCAAGCAATCAAGCCACATATCGGAACATTATAATAACGTAAAAAAAATATCTTATAATATCTCATCAATTTTGTGACAATAAATGTCCGGACTAGTCTTAATTTATTGGGGAAAAGGGAAGTCTTCGTCGCAACTAGACTCCTGACTAGACGGAGGAGTATCCAGCTGTGGAAGACCCAAATCAAGATATTCTTCGTTAGCTGTAATCGTTAAAATACGATCTAAATCTTCAACTAACTCAGAAAACACTGGTCGTTCGTTTGGTTGATAGCTCCAACATTCTCGCATGAGCATGTAGATTTCTAGTGAACAACAGGGCGGCTTTTCCATTCTGTGTCCATTTCTTAGCAACTGAAAAAGCTTTTCAACACTTGGAACAGATGGATAAGGTGTGCCTGGCATAATAAATTTTATATAATCATAGGAAAACGGGTAAAAGTATATTTACACATACCTCCTAGCGTCATAATCTCCCATAAAAGAATCCCATATGACCAAACATCTGATTGAGTCGTGTAGACTCTATGGAATAGTGCTTCTGGTGCCATCCACTTAACTGGTAATCTTCCATCAGTCTTTTTTCTATAATAATCGTTGCAATGAATATCTCTAGCCAAACCAAAATCGGCTATTTTGAGGACGAAGTCATCACTGACTAAAACGTTTCTAGCCGCTAAGTCCCGATGAATACACTTTAAAAAAAAAACTTTATTATTAATTTGTAGAATTATTGTTGGCATACATCGTATTCATTTTAGTACTTTCCAGTCTTATCTCCTATTATCTTGGACTTATAGCAAAAATGGGAAAATGATTGAACACATCGTACATGTACATACATATAAACTGCTGGACACTCGAACTTTTACATATACAGATTTTTAGAGAAAATTCAATGTTTCATATTTTCGACACGAATAAAGTTTTTTTAAGGCGGTTTGTGGATTTAATAGCCCGTTTTTTCCGTATAAAGCTTGCCGTAAATTTCTCATAGGACCGTAGGGTTATGATATACGAGGCGATAAAATTGAATTTTGCCTAAAAATCTGTACCTATGTGTAAGTTCAAGTGTCTAGCAGTATAGTTCAGAGAATTAACTTTTACGCAGAAAGCAACACTCCCTTCAATCTCTTACATACCTCTCAGATCCAACCCATCAAAAACCCTTAATGATCGAGTAATTTAATATTTCTACATTTTTTGGTTCCCTAAATACCTATTTTGTATTTTTTTCTGGTAGATAAATGAGTCATAAAAAAGTGTGAGTCTGGGTGGGTGGTGAGATAGTTTACGAATGGGTTGATAAGTTTTGAAAAAATACTATAAATACCTACCCTTCTTGATGACAAATAGTCCATGCCTCTAGCTACTTGGTATGCAAAAGAAACTAGATCTTTCTGTGTAAGAGTTTTCCTTTCTTTGGTCTCACTGCCCACTGCAATTTCATACCCAGAGGTCGGCCTGTGCTCTCTCAAAAAATCTCTCAAATTTCCATTGGGTGCATATTCGACTACCACGTACAAGGGACCACCTTGAGTGCAGCAGCCAATCAAATTAATTATGTTGATATTTTTGCCAATCACTTTCATCATTTCCATTTCCGATACCAGGTCCATCATTTCGTTGTCATTGTGTCCATCTTTGAGCATTTTGACCGCCACGGTACATCTGCCGTCCGGTTTCAGCAAGTTGACAGCTTCTGCTTTGACTACTTTACCAAATGCACCTTCTCCCAGAATTTTTCCTAATAATAAATTATCTCTTGGTATTTCCCAGTCTGAATCCATAGGTAATTCGTATTCGGATAACAAACCGTCTCCAGAGTTGTTAAGTTGGGCTTTCTGTTTTTCAATTTTAACCACAGGCATTAGCTGAATAAAAATAAAAATCAAATATAATGAAAAACTTAGTTGTTAAGGCTTACATTACATTACAATTACATACATGTAATTTTGTTGGGAGTTGTGAGTGAGTGTGAGATAGACACGACATTGACAACATTGAAAACATACACAATGTCGCTTATTAGTGGGCGTGAAATGACGTGCATACATGGAAGACAATAGGGAAGCAGAGGGATCACGAAAACAGGAAGAAAGACAAGAAGAGGAAGCCCGAAGACAGAAATGAACAAGAAGAGAAAAACTGAGAACAGCAAGAAAGACGAGAAGAGGAAGCCCGGAGACATCAGAAAGAAAAACAAAGAGAACTCTACCGGCTTGCAGCACTTTTACAACAACAAGAAGATTGAGAGAAAACCAAGAAGACCAGGACCAGCTTCAGCAAAATTTTAAAAATGCCGCGAGAATGGATGCAAACGGTAATTTCTGGGAAACAAACCAGACTCGAGAAAATACCGGAAGGGTAAAATTATTAATTTAAGGATACAATGTGTAGGCAGTACGTGAAAAAGTTGGTAGTGTTCGTCAGGAAGATGGAACTTTCCGCGATGGTGTTCAGAACAAAACTGAACATGATAACAGGCCTTAAAATTCAATGTTCCTTCAAAGTGGATCTATAAGTTCTTGAAATTTCTACCGATGGATTGCTGAATACGTTTTTGTTTTTGTTAACATGAGCTTCTTGTCGTCATTATTAATAATGAGAAAAGTTTGATGTCTTCAATTTCCAAAAGTGATATTGCTTACCAGGGGTTCGGATGCATCCTCAGGGCTGTGGGATAGCTTTTCAATAATAACTTTCTTGGTCCACTGTGTGATGATTACCGCCCTAGCGGTTTCTACGGCAATCATTTTCTCCCTTTTTTCCCTAAAAATTATTTATTGGATATTGAATAAGGTTCAAAAGGACAATAAAAAGGCATTTATTCGTAGTAGATCCCTTTCTGCAAAGGCCTTTGGACTAATGGACTTAAGATCCATAATAATTGTTACGAAAGAATTTGATGAAGAAGTGGATCTATCGTTTACAGTGAACCTTATTTTTTTTTTATTTGTCTTACCTTTTAATTTTTTGTCTGTAATAAATGCAAATATAAAATAGCAGCAAAAATACAGCCGCTGCGATAGCAGCTATGATAAGGCCTATCTTCAATGTTATCGGTTTGGCTTCTTCTGCATCTGGCAAGACATCTACCACTGACAAATATGCTTTCGCCGATGTGTGTCCTAGACTATTTGCTGCTACGCAAGCATACCATCCTTCATCTTCATATGTTATATTTGAAATTTCTAAAATTTCTGGTTCCAAAATATTTCCACTCTAAAATTGAGGAAATACTTGAAATATATTTTTTTTTACTTTGCCTAACTGTATTAGTTATTTTCAAATCATGCCATGCAGATGTTGATTAAGGCAATTTCATGATCAATGAAAATCACTGAAAAAATAATTCTACTGAAAAGCAAACGTGACCAACTACATGAAACATGAAATAAAAAAAATAATTTGATTAAAAATGTGGTTCCTTGTAGGTATAGATTTACCCTTGATCAAAGTTACTGTCAGTGAGGGATTAGGTGCCAGTACTTTGGACACAGCACACAGTTTAATATTTGGTTGAGCTAATCGGAGCTAAGAATGTATGTTATCAAATGTTGCATGTCACATTCAAGCCGTCGATAAGCTTAAGAGGACCAAAGTTTGTTCAAACTACCTAAATCCATAGGAAAAGAGAAGAGAGTGGTTACAGGTAAGTTGTAAAAGGTAGGTACGTTTTTTCCCTGCTTTTTAATCCAAATTATCGGAAGTGGTCAAGTTTCGGATATTTTAAATACGTGCCACTGGAACTACTTGCACCTACTAAGTATAGCTGTGAGGAATTGGTGAAAATAAAATTTACTATGCCTATAGTAAAATTCTTTGGCAAAGATTAACATGCCCCTTGCAGATATTTTTTCATTGAAAATAAATGATACTGTCACGCTTTGGTGTGCGTGACAGAAATCATGGGTCCGTTTATTCCAAAATCAAAGTCCAATTAACACAGCAATAATTTATTCCACGTTACTATACACTCTGACACTAGTTACTTCAATAATTACCTCAAACAACTAAACTCTTTACAACTCTCAACAATAATCACTATCTAAATCATATCACAGTCAAACATAAACTTAAAAACTGCAAACTAATACCAGCGTTCATATATCTGCAATCTATTCGTGCAGAATCCAGAACACACGCGATAGTCCCATGCCCGAGAAAAGGCAGACTTTTCCTGGAATTCTGGCATGTATTCTGGATACCGTGGCGGAGGCGCACGTAAATTCTGTTACATGCTGGTGAATGCGCCACTTTCTGCGACACTGCCCTCCTCTTAAGGTTGATCGTCCCGTTCAACTTCACGCCCATGATATTTCGTCAATCCGTCTAGATGTACAACTTTTATCTTACTCCTGGTGTTGCGCTGAACTCGATAAACCAAGTCATTGATTCTCTTGATTATTCTCTAGGGTTCCTCCCATGATGAAGACAATTTCGGCGACACTCCTTTCTTTCTTGTTAAATTATACAGCCACACCAAATCGCCTACTTGAAATCCGGCTGAATTAGCTTTCAAGTCGTATCTGGTCTTCATTCGGTCACTGGCCAGCTGAATATGCTCCCGAGCAAAATTACTTACTCACTTCGTCGGCATAATCTCGAATTTCTTTTCGTTCTTCTTCAGGTATTCCAAACATCAGATCGCAAGGTAACCTGAGTTCCCTTCCAAAAACGATTCTAGCTGGACTTTCACCTGTTGACTCGTAAACAGCTGATCTGTAAGCTATTAAAAATAAAGGCAAGTGTTTGTCCCAATCTCGCTAGTTCTTTGCGATCACGTTTGTCAGGTGTTCCTCTATGGTCTTATTAAATCGTTCTACCATGCCATCAGACTGTAGATGTAAAAGTGTTGTCCTTGTCTTATGAATGCCCATGATATCCCAAATCTTCTTGAAGATGGCAGATTTGAAGTTTCGTCCCTGATCTGAATGCAACTCTAGTGGCACACCATGACGACTGAAAGCTTCGTCCAGTAGCACCTGGGCAACAGTGATTGCTTCTTACTGAAGTTATTCACGATAACCAAGATGTATTTGTTACCACTCTCTGACTCAGGGAACGGTCCGGCTACATCTATCACTATTCTTTCAAATGGGACACCGACGTTGTACTGTTTCATGGGCCCCCGAGATCTTAGTTTAGGGCCTTTACTGGTAGCACAGATGTCGCATTTTCGGCACCAGTTTTCAACGTCTTCATGATAGTGGACCCAGTAAAAACGTTCTCGAATTTTGTCTAATGCTTGTTAACTCCAAAATGTGCCCCTGAAGTTCCGTCATGTGTTTCTTTTAATACATCCTCTACTCGATCTTTTGGAATAACCAGTTGGCTGTTAGTAGATTTTTGCATCGGCACTTTCCCAAATTCTTTTCAGTAAACCATTTTCTACGGCCAGAGAGTTCCACTGAGCCCACAACGCCTTATAAATCAAACTCTTGTTCGACACTTCCCTCCATTCTGGCCTACATTCATCATTTTCTATAAGATGGAGAATTTGGCCGATGTCCTGGTCTGCTTCTCGATCTGCTGGTACTCCAGTTACCATCAACGATCAGACCTGTTCTTCTCACAGGCGGACCAGTGTTTTTCTCATGCATGTCGATTCTTTGACAATGCTTGCAGTCTTCTTTGCATGGCCGTCTAGACAAAGCGTCAGCATTTTTATGCAGGTTAACAGGTCGATGTTTAATTTGAAAATCGTATTGCTGCAATTTCTCAATCCATCTAGCAAGCTGTCCTTCGGGAGTTTTCATTTCTAAAAGCCATTTTCGAGCTGCGTGATCCGTTCGAATTAGAAATTTACGTCCGTAAAGATACTTATGGAAATGGTCGACTGCTTTTAGTATGACAAGCAACTCTCTTCTGGTGATACAATAATTTCGTTCTGGCTTTGATAAGGTTCTGCTGTAGTACTCTACGTCATCTTCTTGTGAATTTTGAATTTGTGAAAGTACCGCTCCAATACTGGTGTTGCTTGCATCTGTGTCCAAAATCAACATACCCATTCTTGGATCCAATTGAATGTTGATTTTTCTTCCGTTAATCGATGAAGCGGCGCAGCTATATTAGCGAATCCTTCTACAAATCTTCGATAATGAGAAAATAATCCTAGAAAACTCCTCAGTTCATGCTTGTCGCGTGGTTTTGGCCAATCCCTGGCAGCATCTACATTTCCTTCCATAACTTGTATGCCATCTTCAGATACCACGTGACCTAAGAATTCCAATTTCTTTTGAAATAGGAAACACTTATTTGGATTGAGTTTTAAGTTAGCATTCCGGAAACGGTCAAAAACTTCTTTCAGGTTTTTGAAATGTTCTTGGAATGAATTTCCCATAATCATGACATCATCTAAATATACCAAGCAAGTTCTCCATGTAATGCGAGGCCCTACATGGAGAACTTGCCTGACAAGATGCATCAGTGCAGTCGCTCAAACGTAGCTGGAGCATTACACAATCCGAAAACTGATAACACCCGCTTCCGGTACTGAAGGCAGTTTTCTCAAAACTAAACTTAAAACTACTAACTAATATCGACCTTTATATATCCGCAATCTATTCGTGTTAAATCCAGAATAAACGCGACAGCCTGGCGGATGCGCTACCGTTATTAGATATACTTTTAGAACGTACCTATGCAAGAAGTTTTCAAGTGAAAATTAAAATGTATGCAAGAGGCCTATGGAATATTACACTGTAAGAGAATACAGAGCATAGCCAACTTCATGACTAAAATAAATCACAAACATCATAAAATAAGCCAAATTATCTTCCCGAGCATTTTCTTCTTGGAACGCTTTCAAAAATTCATTCAAATTCGATGGACATACTCTTAAAAAAAATGAAATTTATCGCGGAAAATGGTAATTTAGTGTCAGTGCGCGAATGTTAGCGAATAAGTTAGGTGTTGACCACATAGAGTGGAAAAGATCTTCTGAAAAATGAAATAGACCTGAAGAAACTAGTCGAATGAGGATCTAAGTATTGCAGCTCACAACCGGAAGTTTCCAGAAGCAAAAGGACTTGGCAATACATAGATCGATTTGGTTCCCGGTGGGACACCTGTATATAATGAGAAAAATTTTGATATGAAGGCTTGTATAATTTACGAAGACACAGGATTCGTTTGAAAAGGTAGAAAAAAGTCATCAACTTATCAATAGACTAATAAACAATAAGTGCTATTGTGTATATTTGCAGCATAGAAAAATTTATCATTAGCCAAAAAAAAATGCTGGATTTATGAAAGCTATCCAAAAACAAGAAGCTTTTGACAAAGAAGGCGACACTCAATTCAGCTTATTGAGTCATACGTTGTAACAGAGAATCTCGGTGAAGTCGCCAAAGCAAAAATGAAAAATTTAATTTAAAACAAATATTTTTACTCATCGCTATCAACAAGTTTTACTCCACTTTTAAGTTTAAATAAATTATTCTAACTCTCTTGTTAGTTTAATGGAAAGAGTCGGTGTATTTAGTTGAATCAATTTTATTGGAGTTGCCAAAATACGTATACAAAATAGGTATCTAGTTTTAATTAGAAAAGTGAGGAGCTTCAACTAGAATCGACTCTAAAATGTTTCATATTCGATTCTAGCTGTGTCAAGAAGCAATACGACCTCAAGGTATGAGGAAAATGCAGTGGATTGTATAATTCACCTACTGCGAATTCTCCATAAGGCAAATACTCACATCTGCTGAGTTTACGTTATCCCTGGAGTTATCAAATCGTTTAATCCTAACTGCCAAAGAGAAACTCCCAGAGACACATTGTGGCTTTAGTCCCAACCGAGGTACGTACAGCTGATATGATTTTCAATGCAAGACAAATGCAAGAGAAATCTAGGGAACAAAATCGCTCTCTATACATGGCCTTCATACATTTGGAGAAAGCATTCGATTTGCTCAACAGAGAAACTCTTCGGAAGATATTGGCAAAGGTTGGGTGTTCGCAAAAGTACATCCAGATACTCTGCTGCATGAAAATATGAATGCAACCGTCTTAAGCAACGATGAACAAGGAGAGATTTTCAAATAACTACAGGCGTGGAACAGGGCTGTGTTATTGCAGCCACTTTATTTTCTCTATAGGATCCATACTTCACCTTGTTGAGGGTCACCTGCCGTCAGGAGTGGAAATCCTGTACCTACAGTCTTGATGGCGGATCATTCAACCTAAACAGATTACGAGCCCGAGCCAAGACGAAAGTATCGACGATATCGATAATTGAACTTCAATATGCGGATGATAACGTCGTGATGGCCAATACAGAAGAAGATCTTCAGGTAATCATCAATGCATTCAACCAGATATACAGGAAAATCGGCCTAGAGATCAACTTTAACAAGACACAGATTCTGCACCAGCCGGCACCGGATACTAATCTCCAAGCCCCAAATATAACTATAATTGACCATTATTTGCAGAACGCTAACTATACCTTGGGAGCCTGTCAGCGAATGCAATCATTGACGCTGAAATCCAACATCGCTTTAGGTGTGCTAGTGCGGCGTTCGGGCGGAGTCTTCAACAAACACATCAGCACTGAGACCAAACTTCACATCTACAATGCAACATTTACATATGGCTGCGAAACATGGACCACCTATAGAGAAGACACATAAAAAGCCTAGAAAAAAACCATCTGCGATGCCTAGGAAGGATCCTATGGAAAAAATGGCAAGACCGAGGAGCGAACATTAGTGTTTTAGAGGAGGCCAAAACAACTAGAATGAAAACCCTCATCATTAAGCACCAACTTCGCTGGACAGGTCACCTCGCCCGCATGTCCGAAGCACGTCTTCCTCGACGCATTCTCTACAGTCAACTGAAAGCGGAGAAACGAAATCAAGGAGGTCAACAAAAACGCTAAAAAGATGTTCTAAAGGAAAATATGGCTTAGTGCCGCATCGATACCAGCAACTGGGAAACGGCGGCAAATGATAGACCCTCAGGCGTCGAGTAGTCCACGACAAACCACAAACTTTTGAAGAATAGCGACGCAGACCCGAGACCGAAAGGAGGAACCGTAAGAAGGAGCGAGAGAGCAGAAGAAGAGCGAGTGCTGCCAGAGTCAGGGTGTGTCAAGACTGTGGAAGAGTTTTCGGCTCCAGAATTGGTTAATATAGCCAACAGAAAACGCACAGTCGACGAAAATAAGAATAGAATAGAAGATAATCATATTCGGTATCGAGTGATCGCCTGCGACTACGACGATCCCTGAGTTGAGGAAATTTTGCACAATCTAGCGGCACATTCGGAGTCTGAACTCCCTAGCGCTTTAAATAACAGAGATTGCCCTCAAACTCGACATTCGCACCTGTCTTATAGTCGACACAGGTCACGACCAGTTATATCAACCAACCCCCATAGGCCCCAGAATGCTTTCTGTCTACTAAAGCTTTCGAAAATGGAAAGCATCAACCATTCGATTTGAATGGTGTGACGATATATTCCGTATAGGTTAGTTGAGGATTTGTCAGACAAGTCTAGGGTTCTAGTGATGGTTTTGCGAACAGTAACACGAAATATTGTAATAGGGTTTATTTCGGTCTGGAAGTGTAGTCTCACTGAGAATTCGCATATGTACCAAGATATAGTGTTTTCCAAAAGTTAACTTAGGCAAAGCAACTCACTTCCGCCATAGAAAATTGAACAACATTTATAAACTGCTGGACAAATGAAGCGGAACAAGCGAATTTTCAGGTTAACTTCAAATTCCAATATTACGCGAACTAAAAAAGATACCAATGAACAGTTTGCGAAAATTAACTTTTAAATTACGCAAACCACTCATTGATATATTCTTTATTTCGCGTAATATTGGAATCCAAAATTAAACTAGAAATTCGCTTGTTCCGCTTCATTTGTCCAGCAGTTTAGTTACATTTCTTCAGCAAGTTTTAAAAAATCCACATGTTTTTTTCATTATTTTTAAACAAATACAAACATGTGACCACAAAGCTTCAAACTCCTAATTTCAGGTACCTACCCATTTTTCTGAGAAAATAAATATTGGCGATATGAGAACTAATTTGTTCTGCTTTATGACAGGCACCGCAACACATGTTGTGCATAATTAAAACCCAAATCAAATTTCAGTATTTTTTACAAACGTGGCTTTGCAACAATTATAGAAAATTATTGTGGAACATTTACAGCTTAACTACCATTGCTGATTCATGTTCGGATACTTACTTATCATTTATTTTTTCTGTGTAGACAAAACTAACCATGAAGTTTTTGTAGTTTAATATTTTTGTTTTAATTGATGTGTTAAATAGTTCAGCCAAATATCACTACCAACAAATTTTCTTCAGATACAAATTTTAACTTTTGGCCACTCAAGTTTCTGCTTTCAAACAATCTCGTTGGGGACATTGAATAAAATTGATCACAGTCTCGTGCGATGCTGCTAAGCAATAAACTTAGTCCAAAAAATTTAGGTAATCGGTGAAATTTTGCCACTAATGATAGAACCCGTAAAGATAAATCAATAACAAAAACTTGTGAATATTACGTTAATTAAATACAAAAGAGACGTGCTATTATATGCATGCAAGATTATTAGACACAAATTAAACATATACCTTAGTGACAGAATCATTCCCAACAAGCTTAACCCAACTGATATGTTGAAATAAATCAGAAAGAAATTCACATTTAAAGGATGCATTGCTTCCAATTTGCACTGTAACATTTTCTGGGCTATTTGTGAGAATGGGTTTATGGTGTAATCGTTCTAGAAATAAGATGGGTAGACCGTTAATATAAAATATTCTCGTATATTTAAGGATTTTTTAGGGTTTTCATTTGGATAATTTTTAAAATCATAAATTTTCCTTCAAATAACTATTTATGGTGGCAAATCTCAGAATCAAGCTGATTACTTTCTCTTAAGACAAGATAATTTTTACATTAGAATATTTTCAAGCAGTCGGAGAAGATAAAGCATCGACAAATGAAAACCCCATTTACAAATAATAGTAAACATAGGAGCACAGGACCCTTTACCTATAAAACATTTAAACTGGACAAATAATTTGTTAGTAATATGTATATACTTCCAATTCCAATTCTGGTGTTAGCACTGCATTTTGTAGAATATATTTATTATCAAAAAAAATATTATATAAAAATGAATGTATACAAAAAATAATATTGAAACTCTTGGTATAAATGATGAGAATTTTCCATCACCGAGCCATCACCAAGCACCCTGATACAAATCGTGGTACCTTTTTGATTCCATTGAGATCTTCACCTTCCTGAAAATCATACGAAGAATTTATGTAAAGCCATGTAATGTAGGGCTCCAAATCGGCCACCAATTGTGGACATTCAAAACGAGCTGTCGAATTTACCAGAACAGTAATATTTTCGGGATAACCATCCTTTATGTAAGGCTTGTGAGGAAATCGTTCTATTTAAAAGTAAAATTTCAAATTTAACTTGATATTCTAAAATAGATATATTATGTTACCCGCCACCCTGAGAAATTGGCATTTCTTAATACTTTTTATGTATTTTTTTTTTCAAAGCATAAAATGTTTGAGCTTATAGCAGCACTGATAATTTGAAAACTGGTTGAGGGATGTATAAAAAAAATGTATATGTTACTCACCCACAACATCAACCCTATAAGTGAAATTAGTACAGCCCGCTTCATTGCATACAATACAAGTATAGTTTCCCTTATCATCGGTAACCAAATCTTCCAAAGTCAGTGACCAATGACTTTGCTTGTATTCGCCATAATTTCTTTTTGGCGCAACACCATCTTTGAGCCACGTTATATTTGGAGTTGGATTTCCGCCAGCTCGGCATTTCAACTGAGCAATATTACCGGCTGGCTTGACTACTAATTGCTGCATTAAGAATTTTTTTATAAAATAGGGTGGCTCAAGAACGACTAGGTTGTATTCTGCAATTAAATCTCCATTTGAGTAGCAACCATATGTGCCTTCATCGGCTAATGTTAGATTTGCTACGGTTAGATTTTGACCAGCCTAAAATAATGGAAAACAATAATTTTGAGTCAAAAATATAAATGGAGGATTTAAGAGTGTTTTTTTTTTCGAAAATAGCTTCTTTTTTGTTTCTGCTATCTTGCACTATTGAAGATTATTGAAAGCTAAAACACAAGAATACAAAGAAAAACCTGAACATGAATGGGAATGGCTTGACTATGGCCTATTTTTCCACCAAAATGTGCAAGCCGCCTGATAATGAATATACTGATATCATTTAAATATAAAAGTTTATTTTTTAATTAAGGTTTATTACTATTAGAACATAATGTAGCCCAACGTTCGTCTGTAAAATTCAAATCAAATAATTACCATTGTTTTGGAACCGCTTGTGTTAGTTTTACGAATTTTCCATTCGACATTGTACCCTTCTGGACAACTTAAGTTTAATGTGTCATTAATTATTAGTTTTATGTCTTGGGTTTTTGAAAAAGAATATATTCTCATGGGTATTGATTTGGGTCCCCCAACATCTGGTGAATCAGGTACAACATTCAGATAAGCCTTTGCCGATGTTACACCTAGACTGTTTGCAGCTATGCAAGTATACCATCCTTCATCTTCATGTGTAACATTTGAAATTTCTAAAACTTCCGGTTCTAAGACATTTCCATACTAAAATATACACTTCATTATATCATATATTTTTTTAAAAATCAACTTGGATTAGTTTTGAATCATGCCATGCAGTATCAAGCAATTGTTATAATATGATCAATAAAAATATACCTATACATAATTAAAAAGTCTTACCAAACTATTTCACTTCCACACTTTTTCGATTTTTCAAAATTAAAAGTAAAACATTAGTTGGATAAATTTCAAATCAGGATTTGGTAATGCAACAAAATAGATGTACCTATTAAGATGCCCATCACTTAGAAAAAAATTCACATATTTTTAAAGAAGCCAGTTTCAAAGTGCTCATGCCTATCCCAAACTAATCTATCCTCTTGGCATGCTGATCCTATATTATTGCTTGCTGGTTTTTGTAATGCGCGCTGGTCCCCGTAATGCTATGTTTTATTTTAGAAAATATGCTCACTTCAAGTACGCTATGAATTTTTCTAGAACACATAACCCTAATAGAACTATACCAAAACTTCAATTATTGAAGAAATACAAAGAAGCCGTTAGTAATAATAACGCAAAATAGCCCGTTCGTAATGTGTGTTGGTCCTTTTTGTCACATAAATAAACGGTTCCACGAAGGCCCGAGGACAAATGTCGGCTATGGATATCCAGGCACCCGTGTAATGGCGATTTTAATACGTCTCGGCTTTTTGGTGCTAATACGAAAACTACAAAGATACCTATTAGGGACTTTTCATAAAAAAATATTAATAGAAAGTATTCTGCTCCATGTTTTGCTTGTAATTTTTATTATAGGCAGGTACTTTCAAAATAAAATCTTTAAATAGATTATTTACCTAGCATATTTTCAAGAACTATTTTACCACTGGTCCAAATTATTTCCGGAATTTTTGGTCGACTCGGGATAATTTTTTTCAAATATTCTTGTGGGTGAGAAAAAATTTCCGGAAAATAATTTAGGCAGTGTTGTATTCGGTAGGAAAATTATTTTTTAAACCTGGCAGACGAAACCAGCCACATACCAGCTATGCAAATTTTGTGTGTGAATGTTAAGGAAATGTCCACAGAAATTTCGCCCAGAGTACCTACCCATCAAGAGAAAAATTTTCAAACGAGCTGGGACTATCGTTATCTACGTTGTACCCCACTTCCAATATCTTTTTTGTTGATATTTTTCATAAATAGCCCTAGCATATCAAAACCTTTTGACAAAGGAGACTAAGCAAACGAGAAATCGTTAATTTCATTATTTGAGACACTCAGAAACTGTAAAACGACTGGAGAACCTATCTAATAATTACCACTCACCTCGTAATCTTTTAAATTAAATTTTACTTGCTAAGGGGCACGAAGCCGATTAAAATGACCTTGTCAAAAGAAACACACGATCCTATTATACCAAAATGTAACACAAACTTGCTTGAATCCCAGAAGTATTAACTAACTAAGTATATAATCATATATTATCAAAATCTCAAAACTCTGGAAATAAAACATATTGTATTTTGGAGAACAGGAACAAATTTGAAAACCATTCTGTCTAGAATCTGGCTATTGCTTTTTGATGTTATTAGTTTACTCCAGTATCGATGCAATTTTATTTGCGTGGTGTAGGTGCTTACTCTGGAAGGATGACTAGGTGCTAAATAAATAAATATAAAATAAATAACTAAATGTATTTACTTTTATTATTCCTAATCAGAATTAAGTTTATCAAGTCCCGCTGTTCCTGTTGCATGCTTAACTTTGTGTGACATACGGAAACCAAGTTTAAATTTCGAAGCACGTAATCTTCAAAAAAATACATGTGGAACCAATTCGATTTTCTTGGTTCACTACCGTTTCCAAATAAAGTTGTATGCAAGCATATGTTGGGAAATGAAACTGAATGATATTAAAAAAAAAAGGTGCGTACTTTGAAGATTCAATACACCAAATCATCCCAATGTTAGCAAATTAGTAAAAAAGTGCGGACATGCAATATTATTAAACAACGAATAAGGATATGGTACCTTAGTGACACGATCATTCTCAAGAAGCTTAAACCAAGAAATATGTTTAGATAAGTCAGAAAAAAATTCACATTTGAAGGATGCATGGCTTCCAATTTGTGCGGTGACGTTTTCTGGGATATTTGTAATAATAGGTTTATGGTGATATCGTTCTAGAAATTAAATAGATGTAAAAAGTAAGAAAAACATAAAGAATAACAGTTTAGTAAAATTTGAAAAACAAGATTTTTTTCATCTACACTCACCGACAGAAAATTCGGGACAATCAAAATTTAGATCAAATTTGATGTAGGATAACTTTTTCTTCCATAGTCAGATTTCAATCTTTTTTTTTTCATAATGTAGATAATTATTTCGGTTTTAATTAATTTTATTCAATTTTCAAAAATACAGTTTACATGTTGGAATATACCAGGAAAATAAAAAAGTATATTTTTTCTCTTAACTTTGTAACACTCTGTAGAGTAATTTTGCGAAGTAAGCTACACTGGATATGCTTTTCTGGCGAGTTTGATCCATTTTCAACATTTTGCTGTTTTATCGTTCTTGGTATCTTTATCGGTTCGGGAGATATGAATTTTTGAAATAAACATTACACTTTTTGATCAAGTCTAAATTTTTGAAATAAACCTTACACTTTTTGATCAAGTCTATTTTTAATTGAAGCATGGAACTAGGGGTTTTATAAGTTAGTACCTCGTGTTACCTCCTCTTGCTCTTATAACAGCTTCTAAACGTCGATTCATTCCTCTAATCAGGTTTTGGATATCCTGTTGTGGAATACCAGGCCATTCTTCTTCCAAAGCATTTCGGAGCTGTTGGAGAGTGAACAACTGTCCTCGGCGTTTCCTAATTCGTCTACCTAACATGTCCCATACATGTTCTATGGGATTGATGTCAGGACTACGAGCGGGCCAGCGCATAACGTTTATTCCAACCTCTTTTAAATATTGGGCCACTCTTCTGGCAGTATGTGGACGGGCATTGTCATGCATGAAAACGAATTCGTTGCCGATAAATTGTGCAAAAACAACATGTTCTCCCAGAATTTCGTCAATGTATCTTGGGGCAGGTAATCTTCGGTCAATAAAAACAAGTTCTGTTCGAGCGTCAAACGAAAAACCGCCCCATACCATTATCGATCCACCATCAAAGCTAACCCTTTCGCTGAAAGTACATTGGGCGAATCTCTCCCATTATCGTCTCCATACTCTTTCTCGTCCATCAGGTGACCTCAGTCAAAATCGAGACTCGTCTGAAAATAGAACTTACCTCCACTCTTGAAGGTTCCAGTTAATGTGTGGTAGATATGCTAGGTTCTACAAAATCTAGCGTGGGAAGAGCCGTAGCAAGGTTTCGTGAGACTGGAATTTACAGTAGAAGACCTGGATCTGGAAGAAATCGCGCTACTTCCGCCCTTGATGATCGCTTCATTAGACTCTCGGCTTTAAGAGATCGGCATACGAGTGCAGTAGTGATAAGAAATGACCTCGAAAGAGTTCTTCAAGTTGCTGTCAATGAAATAACAGTGAGAAGAAGACTTGATTAAAGGCAATTTACGGGCCAGAAGACCGGCAACTGGACCAGAACTTCAAAGACAGCATCGAGTTAATAGACTTCTTTTTTTCCAAGAACACATTGAGTGGAACCTTCAAGAGTGGAGGCAAGTTCTAGTTTCAGACGAGTCCTGAGGTCTCCTGATGGACGAGAAAGAGTATGGAGATGACAAGGGGAGAGATTCGCCCAATGTACTTTTAGCGAAAGGGTTAGCTTTGGTGGATCGATAATGGTATGGGGCGATTTTTCGTTTGACGCTCGAACAAAACTTGATTTTATTGACCGAGGAAATTTATTTGCCCCGAGGTACATTGACGAAATTCTGGGAGAACATGTTGTTTTTGCACAATTTATCGGCAACGAATTCGTTTTGATGCGTGACAATGCCTGACCACATACTGCCAGAATAGTGGCCCAATATTTAGAAGAGGTTGGAATGAACGTTATGCGCTGGCCCGCTCGTAGTCCTGACATTAATCCTATAGAACATGTATGGGATGGGACATGTAAGGTAGACGAATTAGGAAACGCCGAGGACAGTTGTTCACTCTCCAACAGCTCCGAAATGCTTTGGAAGAAGAATGGGCTGCTATTCCACAACAGGATATCCAAAACCTGATTAGAGGAATGAATCGACGTTTAGTAGCTGTTATAAGAGCAAGAGGAGGTAACACGAGCTACTAACTTTTAAAACCCCTACTTCCATGCTTCAATTGAGAATAGACATGATCAAAAAGTGTAAGGTTTATTTCAAAAATTTAGACTTGATCAAGAAGTGTAATGTTTATTTCAAAAATTCATATCTCCCAAACCGATAAAGATACCAAGACCGATAAAACAGCAAAATGTTGAAAATGGATCAAACTCTCCAGAAAAGCATATCCAGTGTAGCTTACTCCGCAAAATTACTCTACAGAGTGTTACAAAGTTAAGAGAAAAAATATACTTTTTTATTTTCCTGGTATATTCCAACATGTAAACTGTGTTTTTGAAAATTGAATAAAATTAATTAAAACCAAAACAATTATCTACATTATGAAAAAAAAAAGATTGAAATCGGACTTTGGAAGAAAAAGTTATCCTACATCAAATTTTATCTAAATTTTGGTTGTCCCGAATTTTGTGTCGGTGAGTGTATTATTTGAGATGGGTATAAAGGTATAGGTAATCATTATTCAAATCGGACATTTAATATTGTATTAAGACTTCCAATATCTTTTATGTAGAATATGATTTATTAAAAATATAGATGTATATATAAAAAACCCAGTTTTTCAATAGGGTGACAATTTTCCATCACCAAACAAGTCAAACCACCACCACGAGAACCCCGACATTAATCGTGGTACCTTCATGATTCCATTAAAATTTTCACCGTCCTGAAAATCATATGAAGAATTGCTATAAAGCCATGATATGTAGGGCTCTAAATTGGTCAATAATTGTGGACATTCAAAACGAGCTGTCGAATATATCGAAGCATTAACATTTTCGGGATAACCATCTTTTATGTAGGGCTTGATGTGAGATCGATCTATATGAAAGTAAAATTCAAATTTTGGTATTTTAAAGTGGTGCTACGTGCCACCCACTGAATTACCTACCACTTTTTGAAAATATTCTATTTTTTCAAGCGCAAGTTAATACAGGTAGTAATATGATTTTTTTTTCTTTAAAGAAAAATTAAAGCATAGAGCTTTCTGAGATGCTGTAGAAGAAGTTGAAAGAAAAAAAAGAGTTTCATTGCCTACTTACCCAAAACATCGAGCGTATATGTAAAATGTATACAGCCAGCTTCATTGCACACAATACAAGTATAGTTTCCCTTATCATCACTGACCAACTCTTCCAAAGTCAGTGACCAATGATTTTGCTTATATTCTCCGTAATTTCTTTTTGGTTCAAGACCATCTTTGAGCCACGTTACATTTGGAGATGGATTTCCCCCAGCTCGACATTTCAACTGAGCAATATTACCGGCTGGCTTGACTACTAATGGCTGCATCAAGAATTTTTTTATAAAATAGGGTGGCTCCAGAACAGTCAAATTATATTCTGTTATTAGTTCTCCATTCGAATAGCAACCGTAAATGCCTTCATCGGTTAGTGCTAGATTCGGGATTTTCAAATTTCTATCAGCCTGAAAAAATTAATAGAAAAAGTCATATATATTTTACAAGCAATAGGTACTTGAATATCGGAAGGCTCCGAAAAATGAAAGATCCCAGAAACGTATCGTTTCTTCCGATCGCGAAAACCAAATTTGGGACAAATAGAACGATAGCTGGTTGAACTCGAGTGACTGAAAATAGAGGTAAAAAAAATCCCCGACTATTTCAGAAATGCAAAACAACAGTGGTAGTTATTTTTCATGTCATTACGTCGCTCAGCCCAAAAAGACCTTCTGAGCCGAATAGCATACAACATTTTTTGTTCACAGTGCTGCATTTTTTTTTTCACAACCTAATCACGGCTTTTTCCATCTATTCCCGGAAAAATGAAAGGCTACCACTATAATCTAGGACGTATGTTAAGTCTGTTAATTTTAAATGTCAAATCAATATTAGGTCACTCAGAACACATTTAACTGCTTGGAACAAGGACGTTCGTGTAAACGAACAGACGCATCACCTCGATTATCCGTATTTATTTATGCTCGTATTTAATTTATGCGATACTATAATCCATAATATTGAACAGAAAAATGTAGAACGAACCAATTAGCTTGGAGCTAATTCCGGAACTTGGTCGTTGACGCTGCCATCTAGCGAGTAAAAAATGTCCAATTCATCCCATAAATAAAAATGTATTCAGTCCTAGTGTGATATATTTCATCATGTTATACTTTCAGTATTTAGATCTAGTTATTGGGTTTACATTAGGTATTTATTAAGGCGGCCAGAAGAAGTGACCTCTGGCAGATGTTGCCAGGAGCAAATAATATTGAAAATGCCAAAGAATAATAGAACACAGCAAGGGGCTGATGTTAGCACTAGCACCATATCCAATGATATTTTTAGAGCATCCATAGGTTCTATTTCCGAGTTTAAACCAGATGAAGATTGGCAACTTTGGCAGGAACGCCTAGAGCAGTATTTTGCTGCAAATTATGTTGAAGACAACAAAAAAGTTGATGTGCTCTTTCTTGACGTGATTTGGAGAAGATGCATACAAAATGGTTAGAGATCTTTGCGATCCAGTTTTACCTAAAGATAAGACATTTGAGCAGTTATGTCGAATATTGTCAAATCAATTTTAGAAAAGAATATCTGTATTAAAAGAGATAATAGAATTTTACAGTGTTAAGTAATCTGATAACATAACTGTGAGGCAACGGTTTGTGAGAATTAAGGCAAGTACATGTGAATTTGGTTCAGAATTGGACTCTGTGGTGAAAGATCGGTCTGTCTCAGGAATGATACGTTGGCCCATATTAGATAGAGCTTGTGAAGAAGAATACACTAAAGATTTGAAGAGTATAGTGAAAGCGGCATTGAATAAGGAGGCAGCATCCACAAATATACAACAGGTTAATCATAATATGAATCGCTTGCAGGTGCAAAAACATAGATATTCTGAACCTAATTTTCCAGAAAAGGGTTCGGAGGAGAATTCAGGTAGTTCAAGCGTTTCAGATAAATTTACGAAGGAGCGTAACATTGATAAAAAGAAGTGTTTATGTTGTGGAGAGAGTATCTTATCAGTAATCACCGATAAATCAAACTGTAAGTACAAAAATTATAGATGTAGGAATTATTGTAGAAAGATTGGGCATTTAGCAAGTGTTTGCTCGCCACAAGCATATTTTATAGAGGCCGATGAATCTTGTAAGAGTCAGTGTGAACTCTCTGACAACAATCAATTAGATGCATCTGAGGAGTTATTCGATTATACAGTGAGGACATAAAGTTCGTCTCCCCCCTCTTACTTTTGAACCGCTCGGTATATTGCAATGAAATTTGGAATGATGATAGATGAACAAATTCTCCATTTTTTGATAGACAGATGCCAGCTTCAGCTGTCAAAATGACAGCTGGGCGCAGTTTTTGAAACGTTTTTTAAATTGAAGGCGCTGTCAACTGTGTCGAGTGATCTATCCTTTTAAAGGTCTCTTTATTCTTGATTTAATCCCTAATTCTGAAAACATTTGATTTAGCGGTTTTCGAATGATGACAAAAAAACAAAGGTTTGTTTTGGTATTTTTTTAGTAATTGAATCATAATTTTATGAGTACTTTACTCTTTAAGTTACCAATGTCATTACGTCATTGTTTATCACTGGAAAAAAAACAATAATGAATAAAAAACTGATGAAACATTTTTTTTATTTTATTTTTATGAGTGTTTATGACCAAAACAACCTTATGTTTTTTCGTCATCATTTGAAGGCCGCTAAACCAAATGTTTTCAGAATCGGGAATTAAATTACGAATGAAGAGACCTTTTAAAACGATATATCACTCGACACCGCCTTCTATTTGGAAAAACGTTTCAAAACTACGCCCGGCTCATTTTGACAGCCGAAGCTGTAATTTGTTTTTCAAAATATGGACAATTTGCTCACATATCATCATTCCAAATTTCGTTGCAATATATCGAGCGGTTTAAAAGTTAGAGGGGGAGGGGGGGCGGACTTTATCAGAGAAAATAAAATAAAATATGTGAAAGCTCCACAGATTGAGTTGCTTGTGGGTGGCAAATGTTTGAAACTCGAATTAGATTCTGGTGCTGGAATATCAGTAATTCCATCAGAATCAGTTTTTCGTGAAAAATATAACTACAGTGTCTACAATTTACAAAATATTTCAGTTAGATTACGGTGTTACGATGGCTCTGTTATTAAACCCTTTGGAGAGTTTCGCGTACAGGGTATTTGATTATATTTGGACCCATACCTACAGCCTTTACTATTTAAGATGCAAAAAAATGTTAAATACAAAACTTGACAGTTTTTTTCTATATTTTCTTTTAATGGTATCAGAAAAAACAAAATCGCATCGAAAAATGGAGAAACGTAGACAACTTCGACTTTTTTTAATGGAACACCCTGTATATTTTGCGATAAAATGGAAGATCCTTTCTTCCTGATTCCAAATATATATATATATATATTGATCACATTTGAGTGAGCCGTTTTTTTTAGCTCAAATTATAATTAATTTCCATAGAAATTTCATAGGGATGTCAAGACATTTAAATCTTTATAAAATTTCCTTGGATTTTATTTATAATTTAAACTAAGATATATCAAAAACGGCTCACCCAAATGTGATCAATATACAGGGTGTCCCAGAATATGTGGGCAATCTCTCGGATTCAGATAGAACAAAAAAAAATAACATGACAACTTCCTATGAAAAAAAATTCCTACTGCCCCCCTACGAAGTTACGTGCTCCTAAAGGACGCCTCTGAAAATCGTTTTTTTGTTGATAACTTTCAAAATACTTCGTGTAATTTTTTTTTTCTTTTAATATGATGGATATTAGATAAGACCCCTTAAAATGGACCCTTTCAAACACACTTGGCCAATCTAGTTTGCCAGGGACGGACTAGCTTTAACACAATAATGCTAATTTTTTTACACCCTGTATGATATAGGCATAGCAATAATATTTTTAGATTGTTTCAACCTTGAACTAGAAAAAAGGTACTCTTATTCGATGTCAAAAAAATGAGCTGGTTCCGAGAAAACTCTGTTTTTGTGTATTAATGGTTTTTTATAATTTTTTATGTCGACTCAACATGAAATCCTTCTAATCTTATGCATTCCATTTTAATAAAATATTGTTCGACTTTCGACAATGCTTCAATATTAGGCCTTATTTCGCGAAAGTGAAAATTAATCCTTTCTACTAATATTTCCTCAGTTTTATTACACTGAGAAAATTTTTTCATTGTCATAACTAATTTTTCTGCTGCCGTAGCCAAAAATTTTGGCTACATAGGGGACAGCCAAGATCTCTACTACCGCCGAAAAGATAACTTTACTGGCACCGTTTATTTGCGGTAGCAAAGTGACTTTATAAAGAATTTACTCACAGTTTCTACAAGGTCACTTTGCTGGCATAGAAAAGCTACTTTGCTGTCGTAGGAAAGTAACTATGCTGTCCTAGAAAAGAGGTTATATACCCTCAAAAACATCCTCTTTTGCTATTGAAAAGTAGATTGCTAAGACAGAAAAGATATTTGTTTTTGTTATTAGAAATGCTTCCTGAAATAGGAAAGCGTTTGTCTCAGAACAAAAAATGTCTTGCCAGAATCAGCCAAGTGTTTTATTAGCCATGGGAAGTTATTTGTCTCACCAATAGCAAAAATATTTTGCTGGAAATCTTTGGAAATATGTAGTAGCGCGTCCATCATAACAAAACCAGGAGATAAACAAACTCTATTTAAACCCCTAAACTTTCATTACCTGATCTGAAATAATGTCAATTAATGAAAAGTTTGGCGCTAGAGTTGTTTCTGCTAGTTTTGATGGATGCGCTGGCACCATTTCCAAAAAGATTCCCAGCGACCGACACTCGACTTGACTCGACAGCATCCACGATCCACACCGTACGGCGTTAGCTACTAAACTAAAATGGAAGAAAATGAACACGAAACATATTTTATCGGTTTTTTTTGGACCCGCAGAAATCACGGAAATGTCCGAACGGTATTTTTAGTTAAGTTATTTGGCTAGGGTAGCAAAAAACATTACTGTAACAATAACAAAAATTACAGGAATTTTTTTTTGCTGCAACACTAAAGTATCTATCTATCTTAGAAAAGTTCTATTTCGGAGAAGCAGAAATATTTTCATAAAATTTTAATTTTGCTATAACAGCAAAGTTTGGTTTTGGAATAAGAAATATCTTTGCAGTTACAATAAAGTAGTTTCAGCAAAGTGGTCTTTTCTGTAGAAGCAAAATAACATTGCTACCTCTAAAACATTTTCCACTGTAACAGCTAAAAAAAAACCAGCAAAGAATTTTCTCCTGGGACTTTTCTCAGTGTATTGCGTTAAAGCTAGTCCGTCCCTGGCAAACCAGATTGGTCAAGTTTGTTTGAGAGGGTCCATTTTAGGGAGTCTAACCTAGTATCCATCATATTAAAAGAAAAAAAAAATACACGAAGTATTTTGAAAGTTATCAACAAAAA